CGCCGCCTCGGCTGGGGAGTCAGGCGGCGCCGCAGACGCGCCGGAGCCGGGCTCCTGGGCTGGTGCGCGCGTCGGTCCCGGTGCTGCTGGCAGCCCTCTCCCCTTCTTTTTCTTTTTCGCCTTCCCCCGCGCTCTCCGCCTCCTCTTCTTCTTCTTCTTCGTCTCCAGCCGATGGTGCTGGCTGCTGGGGCTCACCATGGGCCGCGGCCCCGCATGGTGGGAGGGTGGGCGCGGAGGGAGTGGAGCCGCCGCCGCTGCCGCCGCCGCTCTGAGCCCAGCCCCGCGCCGCCTCTCCGCACCGTTTATCTTGCTTGGATTCACCTTCAAGAGATTTCCGGACCCATCAACCAGCCGCCGCCACAGACGGGGGAGTCTTTTACATCATTATCTCTGAGTAGGTTATTATGAAGAAGACTCGCCTGTTGGGACAGAGCTTTCTACCCAATCAGGTTAACGTTTTAATTAATAGGATTAAAACGGTAACAAACAATCGCAGGCGCTATCTGGCCGCGAGTCTGAATAGTTTCATTTCCCAGGTCTGAAGACAGGCAGCAGCTAGAGCTTTATAAAAGGCGCCTGCTCCATTATTCTGCGTGCCATCTGTATACACAGCTTAGCGCATATGTTTGCAAGGCGCTGGGTCCTGTTAGTAACCCAACAACTGCCTTTAGCTTGACATGTGTGGCGACTTTCACTCATCAATGAGCACACTAAAAGCCCTACTTAGAGCCGAGGATGTTCTTTGCTCCTTCAGCAAATTGTAGATCGGCGGCAAAGCCTGGGAGTCCCGGGGAAAGCAGACGCCCCCCATCCGCCGCACCCCACCCCCACGGCCCTTCCCTCGCCACTGCTGTCTCATCTTGTGCTAAATTACCCTTGCGGGCGAGAATTATACTCCACGCCTGTTCGTAGAATGACTCTGATCTGGATTTGGTGATGGGAGTTTCGGGGGGAAGTAGTGTCCCGCTGGCTTGCCCCAAATTCACCCAAGATTCTCAGCTAGGAAGAGAGCAAAGCAGTCGTCCCCTTCGAACACACTGCCTAATTTCCACCCGCACGCCCACTGCCCATTTCCTCTCCGGATTGGGGAAAAAAAAAAGAAAGAAAGAAAGAAAGAAAAGGAAAATGGAGAGCAACTTGATCATGCAGCCCATTAGATTAAAAAAAAAGGGGGGGGAAGGGGTGCTTTTGCAGTGGTCTCCAAATAACTGGGACAGCGATGGTGATTATGAAGCATATGATTTCCTAAACGGGAAGAAACTGATTTCTCAAACTTTCCTCAAGATTAAAATCCAGTTGTTTCAGAATGGCCAACTCCACCAGGAGTCAAATCCTCTCACACACCAAGTGGGGCATTTGTGCGTATTTATTTACCCGGAAACATAACCGACAGCTAGGAAGCCATTCAGGTACCTCTGGATGTGCCTCGGTTGTTCCTGGAGGGCTAGGAAGGGGAGAGCTGGGAAAACAAGTGCTCCCTTCGGGATGGGAAATGGTACACGCAGTCCTCTCGCTCCTGAGTTCGATCTGGGAGCACAGGGTATTTAGCGGCTGGTTTTCATCCTTGTGACACAAGTAAAAACAATATTTCCCAACACCTCCAATAAATCTTTCTTATGTGGCAGAATTACTGAAGCCTATGAAATTTTTGGTTTCTCTGGTTTCATTAAAAACCTTTTAATTGTGGCTTTCAGAGTTGGCCCCAGGTGTTGGACTCTTTTCATTACATTTTGCTCTAATGTGATGAAATTCTAATTCTCTCCTTACCATATGGTTAAATTTCCCCACTGAGAATTAGTTGAAAAAGGAGAAATAATCTATTAATCTCTGTAATAGATTCACAAATGAGGTTCGCCACAGAACCTGTTTTTGAATGGTAATATCAGAACAGTTGGGCGCCTTATTTGATAAAGGAGGGGTGAGGACGACACAGGGGCGTCTGCATTTTCACCTGGGAAGAATGAAAAGGGGCTCAGCGGTATCTTTCCAAAATAATTGCCTGAGATTCAGTCTCATGGGGACGGAAATACTACGCAGTCGTCGGTTACTTTCGCGCCTTCGGATTTACTGGAATCCAAAGATTGAGGGAAAAGCTAGCGGGCTGCGGGAAGCGATCCAGCTTAGGACCCAGGCCGGTGGTTCTGGAAGGCTTGAGCCGTCCCACGTGTCTCACTGGGGACTTAAAAGCACGTTTACGTGCAGGGCGGCCTCTCACTCACCACTTCCCTCCCGTTCTCCCTCCCCTGGCGCTCGCAGCTGTTAACCTCTCCTTTTAGGAAGCTAAAGACACGCTCCTGTTATTGTTTTTCAATTAGCAGCTTTGTTTTCACTGGGATCATAAACAAAGGTTCTCTATAAACATAGGTGAGTCTTGTGTGCCTGACAGTAACTTACCGAAGTCCTCTGGCCACTTACCGAAGGACTGAGGCTGGCACCGTCGTGGCTCTGGCCGGACTGGCGACATGTCCCCGGATGTCTGACACGGTTTCTCCAGCCACCCTGCCTATGTAGTGGGCCCGCACTTTCCGCGCGACGCCAGCATTGCTGATGGCCCTTCAGTGGGCACTAGATGGGCGAAGGATCGAGCATGCCCGGGTCCGGTAGGAGCTCGGGCTTAGTTACCGGCCGCCGAAAAGGGCCGTGCCCCGCAGGGCCGAAATGGCCGAGCCGGAGCCCCACCGAAGGCTGCCCTGGCTAGACCTCGGACCCTCGGACCCTGGTCCTTCGCCGCTGCCACGTACTCAGCACCGGAGAGCACCTCGTGGCCCTTCCCTGACCCCACCTCCACTCCTCTCTTCCACCTCCCCGCTCTCCCCGGCCATCCAAACTTCCGGAACAAACTTTTGCGCAACTTCTATTTCACTTAGTAGGAGCCCAAAACCTCTCTCTTTGGTGGTTCAAGAAACCCCCCCCACCGGTCTCCCCGGAGGAGGTGGCTGCTTAATAGTCACTGGAAACTTAGCTTTGGGAAACTGCGGGAGAATTTATAGAAGCTCTAAATGTGGGCCTTATAACAACCATCGGGGAATGGTCTTTGAGGTTTACGCACTCGTAAACTTTTGCTGATTGCTTCTGGGAAGTTGTCAGGCACTTACTGCATTTATCTTACAAGGCAATGAAAACACATCTGCCTGGTGTCTCGTTACCTGGTTTAATCATCGCCACCCTAAGTCACGGCCTAGGCCCCCTCTCTTCACTAGAGTGGGATCATACCGCCTGGTTTCTACCCGCAAAGGACTGGCGTCAGCTGCTCACTTAGTGCCCTCTGGCCGCAGGAGCTCTGGATTACTGTGCTTGAACTTTATTCCGCCCAGAAGCTGGGAAAGGGCCCGGGCTCCGGCAGCTACTAGCAAATTAGAAAGGTAGCAGTGAACAAACTAACCTAAACACCTTCTGGCTGCCCGGGGAAAGGAAAGGGTAGGAAATTAGCCCGCGGTGAAAACTCCTGACCCACAGATGACCCCTTGAGAATGATGCATAAGAAGCGAAATACTCGGACTCTGTGCAGTTTCAGAGACGGTCACTGTGAGTTACCAAAGCAATTGAGGGACAGTCTCCTCCACCCGCAGCAGGGAGGAGGCGGCTCAGGCCCCTCCGCGGGCGGGAAGGGCGGGCGCGCGTCCTCCACCACACACCCAGTAGGGCGCCGTTGGTGCTGCCCAGGTTGGCTCTGCCAGGCTCATTGTCCACAACACAGCCGGACAGGGAGCATTCTCTGCCGAGCGCTGGATACCAAATTTACAGACGCCAGAGCATGTTGTGCAAAGATGAACACAGTTTTGTTACAGCAGGAGGGAACATACAGCTTTGAAAGGATTCTAGAATATTCAGCAACCATCACCGCAGTGAAATTAGAGCCTTGAACTTCGGACCAAACTAATTTTTTAGGTCATAATTAAATTTCGTAGTGATCATCTTTATTAGTATTTGCTTGAGATTTGAAATAGGAACCTAAATAAAGTAAGAACAGAACACAATCTAACCTGCTTTTAAAGAGCCAACCCAGGAGTTTTTGTTATTTCTATAGCCCTAATGTTTATTAGTTTACTTATCTAGATTGAAAAAGTTAGGAAAACCCCTGAGCACTGGGATTTGGGTATCTGTGTGTGTTTTCTAAAGGGGAAAATTGTCCTGTGTGTGTGAGAGAACACTCTAAAAAGTAAAAGCAAAGTTTGGCAAGAATGAGATGAACTTTCGCTTGGGAGCTGCTCGGGAAAAGCAAATTTCCTGAGGAGTGATGGGAACCGTCTCGGGCTGCGCTGGCCCGGAGAAGTCCTGCCTGGAAGGTCGCACGTGGCCGGAACCGCAGAGAACCCAGCGCGGCTCCCTCCAGGGAGGCTGCGGGCGGGTGGGGGGGGGCGGGGCGGACGGGGGCCGACGCGCGGAAGCTGGGCGTGCCCCCAGCGCCAATCAGAGGCACACTGACCTTGAAGATTCATTTGCCTCCCCCTGCCCTTCGCCCGCCCAATGCTATCTGGTGGCACTTGGGTCAGCTTGAAGTCTGCACAGCTGAGGTTGATCGTCCTGCACCTCGCGGCGTTTGGGAGAGCAGGTTCCAATCAGCGGCGGAAAGATTCAAGCCCATCGAGCTCCTCCACTCAAATCTTCCGGTGTCGTTTTATCGTATCTTCTCATCCTCTTCGCCAGGTCCCACACAGCTCACTTGCAGAGCCACACTGTGGTTCCACGTGTGTCTCGGGGATTGCCGGAGCTAATGAAAAGGGCAGCGGGGGTGCTGGGGCCATGGGAGCTGGAACATTCCTGGCAGCGCGCCAAGGGCCCCAGCACTGCAATTGCTCAGAAGTGCTTGGCAATTCCAAGGACTTCGACCGTGGAAAAGTTGAACCTGTTGATCTAAAGTTCTTTCGGGAAGATTTTCCTTTTCTTTATCCTAAAGAAAAGAGGTTGACCCTCAAGACTGTTGGAACAGACATAGAAGAGAAACCCTCAGAGAACCGGGAGAAACAGCTTTTTTCAGCACAACTGTGCCCCCCACATGGGCACGCAGGGGGCGTCCCTAGCCCGCCACCAAGGGCTCATTTGGCTCCCGAGGGGGCTTTCCGATTATGGGGACTCTTAAGGGGAGGGGCGCGGGAAGGCAAGCGTAAAAACTTGGCGCTTGCCTATCACTGCAGAGACCCCAGAGAACGAGGGGATAAACAGATGGAGATAGAGGAAGACTAGAGAAGAGTTTCTGAAGAGTTCACTCCCTTCTAGGTTACCGGGGGCATACTCCTACATTCAGTTGCACTCCCTAAGTGCTGATATGCTTATTCGTGTTACATGTGTTTCCTCCCTGGAACCATATCTTCATCGAATGTTGGAAAACATTTTTAAAAGAAAAATTGTTCGCCCAAAAAAAGGTGAACAATTTTAAGGCTTGCCTTGTATCCACCAATTAAGAAACACCGCAGAGTTCAGTTTGGCTTTGGGATTTTAGCGCTGCGATTTAAAACCCACAGCGCCATCTCCTGGCAATAAGGAGAATAACGAGGTGGATGACAATGACACTTAAATGCTGAATATGAAATATTCAAGTATGAGACACTTTATTTTACGCCTCCAAAATTATTTCAGTGATAAATTGACTACGATTACAAAACGTGAGCTGGAAATTTATGATCATTAAAAGTTGTCAGACACACTCCTGGAAGCTAGTTATTTGTAAATAGAAGTTTGTATGCTTTATTTACACACACATAGTTTTTACAGAGGCAGATATAGTTCTTATTCTAAGGAATTATGATAAAATATAATTTCTTAATTTGTCATAAATACATAATTTGAAAGAAGAAAATAACCACAGCTTAATTTCTAAATCAGGGTTTTAATTAGTCATTTTATGCAAAAGATACTGTAACTTTATAAATACCTCAGTGCTCTTGGGAATTAATTGACTAGAGAAACCCAAGTGCTGAATACTATTGAGATAGTTTAACCCCCAAAAGATTTCTTTTTCAAGTGTGGGTATTTTCAGTAAAAACAGTTCTCTTCTTTTGCTTTCTGTGGATACTACTTACCATATATGGTAGAAAGGAGACTAATGGGAGAGGATGGTGTGTTGAAATATTAATTCTCCTAATAATTCATCGAATTTTACCAATCAACATTAGTAAATAATCTTCCCCATTTTTCTCAATAGCCCTTTGCTTTCCCTGTTTAATAGTCTTCTCATCACACAGTCTCTCAGAATGTCTTATTTAGGCTTTCTGAGCTTGAAATATCATCTGAAGCCAAATCATTTCCCTCAAATTTAATGCATAAAGTAGAATTATGGATACCTAACACTTTTATGAATTAAAATGCTTCTGAAGTGTATTTTCACAAGCTTTGATCCCTTTTAAAAATACGATTAAAATCCAGTAAAACTTTGAGATAATATCCCAATTAAAAACATTTCTCATCTACGATTATATACACAGGCCACCTGCTTGTAATACAAATAAAAGTAGATATGCTTTCGATAGTGTGCAAAATATTATGAATATCCTTCAAAAATACTGTAGATCAAACAGACAATTGTAAACTTCACTTCAGTTGAAAGATTAATTTTATTTGATTCATTAAAGTGAAAATCTATTAAGCCAAATATTTGGACTCATTTACTCTGTCAATGTAAGAGTTTCTGTTTGAAAGAAATTTGATTATGTATAGGAGGAAGTAGATAAACAGATGGTTAGCTAGAGAGCTTTTCACAGTTAAATTTTGAAATTTAACATGGATAAGTTTGACACCTTCTCAAACATTTTTGATGAGGTCATTTGATCTACTCTAGCAATGCAGTCTTGTACATAATCAATTTAGCTTATGTTTAAGAAACATTAACTGGGCTTTTCTAGTAATGTATTTGGCTGAAAAGTATACTGATTGAGTTGTCCACTTGGAAATACACACACACACACACACACACACACATTTGTGCTGTATTTACACAGTGGTAAACCAGTATTATAAAAAAGGAAACCAACAGCTGCAAGGCATCATGGCAAAAGTGCCTTAACATAAAAAGAACATTCTTCTGATGAAAGATTTCGTTTAGACTACCTGAAGGGGGCCGTCATTTGTAAACCGCCCTTACGGCAGACTACCCAGGGTGTATGTCTGTGATAGAGCAGTGCCCATGTGGAGAATGGATATTACTATGCGGGTGGCATGGGGACATTCAAGTTAACCTCAAAAGTGATTTAAGAGCCTCCTGGACTTAGGTACTTACGAAAAAAATCTCCAGTTGCCATTATGGATGAGAAGATGAGATTTTCCCAGAACGACTGTTTTGTAATCCACATACTTAAACATTCTTACTCCCTTGAGTCGCTTCCCATATTCCCATTGTTTTTGAGAACAAGGATCATGGGGGCACAAAAAGGAAGAAATAAGGAAGGAAGGAACAAAGGAAGGAAGGAAGGCATGCAGATTTGAGGCCAAAGAACGCATTTAGTATATTCGGTGTCTGTGGAAAGTCCT